TAATATAATAATACATTTTATTTGTAATGCACTTTACATTTTGAGGAAATCTCCAAGTGCTACAGCAAAAGATAAAATCAGAAACAAACAAAAATCAGCTTAATAAAAACAGTGTGAATACTAACACCTAGACAAGCAATAGGGAGTAATTTTACATTTCAAGAAATATCTAAATTGCAATAGCATAAAAGATAAGATCAAAAACAAACAATAAAACAACTTAGTAAAAACAGCAACTATTAACACCTACACAAGGCAGTAGGGGCACATTAATGTCTTAGTAGGCCTTTTTAAATAAAAAAGGTTTTAAGGTTTGTTTTAGAAGACTCCACGCTCTGTGGTGCCTTGAGGAAGTTTGGGAGCGCATTCAATAGACGAGGGGCAGCAGCTTGAAAAGCCCGGTCTCCCATTGTGCAGAGTTTGGTCCGAGGCTGTTGAAGGCAGTAAGTGTTAGTTGAACAAAGATGACTTGAGGTATTATATGGGGTAAGAAGTTATTTAAGATAAAGTGGAGCATTCCCATGGAGAAACTGGTAAGTAAGAAGACAAACTTTATACTGGATTCTATAGTGGATGGGCAACCAATGTAGAGTATGTAGGACAGGTGTAATATGATCATATTTGCATGTCCTCATCAGGATCCTGGCAGCACAGTCTGTTGGAGCTTCTGCAGGCTTCTATGAGAGATCCTGGTGAGGAGGGCATTACAATAGTCGAGCCTGGATGAAACAAAGGCATGGACTAGTTTTTCAGCGTCCAATTGGGAAAGGAAGGGGCGAAGTTTTGCTATATTTCTTAGATGGAAAAAAGAAACTTTTGTGACAGAAGAAGAAAGGGGAATGCTGTGGCCAAGGACAGAGATATGTATCACTGATGGAAGATGTCTGGATCTGATGTGGAGTACCAAGGAGTATGGCTTCTGTTTTGTCGCGATTTAACTGGAGAAAATGTTCTGACATCCACTGCTTTGTCTCCTCCAGGCATGCAGTAAGAGCTGATAATGTAGTTGGGATAGAGATGGGGTCTGTTTTTAAGTAAAGCTGAGTG